GTGTGTGTGTGTGTGTGTGTGTGTGTGTGTGTGTGTGTGTGTGTGAGACAGGGTTTGTCTGTGTAGCCCTGGCTGTCCTGGAAATCACTTTGTAGACCAAGATGGCCGCAAACTCAGATTCTTTGCCTGCCTCTGCCTCCCATTGCTGGGATTAAAGGCGTGCGCCACCGCCCGGCCCCAAACAGAATTTCTTTTACGTTTAGGATGTACAAGGATGAAGTTTATAAAATGAATGAGAAACTGAAAGATCTTGAGAGAGATTCAAATGCATTTGTAGTTGTAGAAACTTAAAAGGGGAATGTTTACAGCACATGTTTCATAAATATTTACACTATTGCTTTTTATTTCTGTTTTACTAATTGCTAGGCACTTGGCGGTGTCCCGGGAAGTCAGCCATTACTCCCCAGTGGAATGGACCCAACCCGACAACAAGGTGATTAAAGGAAGGTGAAACTGAGGAGGTGCTGGGCCTGTGAGGGAATCTCTGAGAAGAACTTCGTTGGTATAAATACTCCATCATCTTACCAGATGCATTTTCACAGCAACAATACTAAATGGTTTCTACTTCCAGCTAATTCTCAATTATGCACTATAGCAGGTTAGAGATGCTGACATAGAGACAGAATATTAAAATGTCTAAAGTCTCTCTATGACTTCGGACTCATAGGAAGTTAAAGGGTAACACATTTATCAGTTCCTCTGCCTTTTTCAGGTAGAGGACTTAGTGTTGATAGACAGGAAGAGGACAAAGTGACACCTGACTTCATTAGTTCAAGGGTCCCAATATCCTCGTCCTTCCTTGGAGATACTTAGGGACCATGGACAGCGAAGGCTGTATGTAGTGCAGGAAATACTGTCCTAAGGAAAGAAGATCAAAGGCTGTGAGAGAAGTAATTCAACACAGAGAAGGAAGAAAGTTTCAGCCAAGAAAGCAATAGAGGTGTGGGATAGCTGATAGCCAGAGCTGAAAATTGTGGTTACAAAAGTCGAAACACGTTGGTGGCAATGCTCAGATATGGCATGGTTTTACCCTCAAGACGGGAACTGGTCTCATGGTGCTCATTGCTAATCTCGTCATACTTCCTTTAGGACATCCAAATATGGGTGGACCAATGCAGAGAATGACTCCTCCGAGAGGAATGGTGCCCTTAGGACCACAGGTAAATAATCAGCCTGAGAGCGCGTGGCTGCTGCCTCCTAATAAGGGGCCATTGTTTTCTGGCTGTTAGCATATGCACTGGAGTATTGACAGACCTCATGGGCTGACTGCATTGGACATGTAGATCTCACTATAAAATTCTGAAATTAAAAGTACACTAGGTTCTATGCTTTATGTTATAAATAACTATATTTTATATTATAAAAAATTACGAGAGAATAAAAACATACTTCTGGCTACTAAACTCTTGTGATAACTTTTAGTCACTATTTATTATGTCAGTGTGAATACTTCCTCTGCAAAGCCAGATTGTAGTGTATTTTTTTCTATTTATATTAGCAGTATCTTTTATATCTATTTCTGTTAGTATGAAGGAAATAAAGTATCCTGGTATAAATTTATCCCAGAAAAACTAACAATAACCATAAAAGTTACACCACACAAAAGGAATTGATGAAAATTTGTTATAAAGACCATGCATTTAAACAAAAGCAAGAGCCATGCTCATGAATGGATATGAGAGAAAGTTTAAGTAAAATCATTTGAAATAGCAGGAATCTCATTACATAGTCACACATTTCACCTTTCATATGAAATGTGTGCATCAAAAAAAATAAGCTTCATTTCCTGAAAGATGATGAAAACAATCCCTACAACAGACATTTTACCACATAGCTGCCACTCAAAGATAAACTGTCCTGTCTCTATACCTATATTGTAGAAACAGGCTCTGGAATGGTGTTTGTAGCTCTATGCACAGACAAAATATACATGCATGCTTGTTTTGCTTGAGACAAGGTCTCACTGTGTAGCCTTGGCTGGCATGGAAATCATTCTGTAGACCAGACTGACCTTGAACTCAGAAATCCTCCTGCCTCTGAATCCCCAGAGTGCTAGGACTTAAAGGCCTGTGCCATTGTCCAGTCTCCCTAATTTTTCCATAAATACCACTTCTGAGGGTTGTTTTTGTTTGTTTGTTTGTTTGTTTGTTTGTTTGTTTTTGTTTTTGTTTTTTTTTTATCTTAAGGCATGTATAATAAAATGAGATAGTCATTTCTGGTAACAACTTAAGTCTGAAACAGAAATATACTTAGCATAATGGTTCTTGAGGACTGTGTGTTAAGCAGATGTAGACAGAACAGAGTGACCATGTGGTTTATGTGTATTGTATGGGTGAAGACATAAACTCTTACCCCGAGTCAAGGCATATTTATAATATGTTTTCAATCTAAGGACAGCAACCACAAGTGATTTTTAAATTAGTACCAATATACTTTAAACAGAAAAGCAAAAATTATTTAATCAGAGGGAAAAAAAGGTCTTCTGATACAATGTTTGAAATTGTTTTCTCTTTATTTTTGTGATAGTCACTTAGCTAACCTGTTTCTTAAAAAAAGAAAAGAAAGAAAGAAAAGCAAATCCCATGGGGCTCATGGAAATAGCCTCTTAAGTTACACAGCTATTTTAATTTTCTCTAGAACCTTGAAGGGTAAATAAGCAACATACAAGTAACATCTAAAAATCAGGTAGTTGGGGTGGATGAATGCGAGATGAGAATGTATAGCTCACATATAGAAAATAAACTGATTCCATATATTTAAATTCAGCCTAAATTGTAGAATTCAACTTACTGCAGGATAAAACTTCCTAATAATTAAACATTCCAATCAAGGAAAGACGTTTTAAAGTTTCCTAGCAGACAGAGTCTGAACACCTTTTTGTGAGGCAAATTGCATTGGAAGACAGATTCGCCCGGAAGGAATAGACAGTGGCCACCAACACTGAGAGATTAGCTCGGAAGGAATAGACAGTGGCCACCAGCTCTAAGAGATTAGCCCGGAAGGAATAGACAGTGGCCACCAGCGCTAAGGTTCAGAGATTCTCTATGAGCTCATCCCATTCTGCCTTTGTTGAGCCACGTGGAAAGCCTTTTTTCTTTCTTTCTTTTCTTCCTGAGTTCTTTGTGATTGGGAATATTAGTCACAAAAATCATGTATTATACTGGATAATCCCTCACTTTCTGTGACAATTCAGTTTAATTAGCTCATCATTTATTGAAGGCCTACTGTGTATCAGACATCTTACTTGACCATTGAGTATAAAAAGATTAATAAAATAGGATTTCTGTCTTCAAGGTGCATGTTGTTGAGCAGAAAATGCAGCTGCATTTAGAAAAGTTATTATCCAATACCAAATGCCTAGAAAACAAAACATGGAGCCCTTATGTAATAATGCAGCGAGCAGGTCATCACATGAACAGAGAAGTGATGCTTTAGAGTTGAGGCTACATGAGCATGGAGCAAAGGGGGTCATTACATTGTATTAATATCCTTGAAAACGAATTAAAATAGCTACAGGTTTTGAGTAGCAAGTGCCATATTTTAATTCATTAAGCACTCGGATAGTTTATATTTCATTTTGTCCTGTGAAAAGTCTACATGGAAATTAATATTATTGCTGTGCAGGTAAGGGAAATAAGGTTAAGAGAATTGTTGGCCCATATGAAGGAGTGGCTGCTGTGGTACACATCTGTAATCCCTGAACTCCAAAGGCTGGGGCAGGAGGATTGCAAGCCCAAGGCCAACCAGACTCTGTGGAAAGCCCCTGGCTCCCAAAGGCAGTGTGTTACAGAAGCCGTAATGCTATGGCAGTAGATACCCAAGCTAATGCCTTTCTGTGCCCAAAGCTCTGGGGGACATCCGTGGACTGTTAGATTCTCTAAAACTTACAAATAAGGAGAAAAGTGGCCAGCTGTCCCAGAAAGAATCTCTGCCTTCCTTTACCATGTATAGTTTTCATTTCCAAGACTTCTGGCTCTGAAACCCCTTGCTGATTACTACCCTGCTGCTCCCATGCTTCACCCAGAGAGGAAGACAGTTGGCTGCCATTTCACCCGATGACTTATGTGGCTAGAATGATTCTCCTACAGCTCACACACTTGAGTGTAAATATTTCCTTAATGTGAAAGTGAATCAACAATGACAGTAGCAAGTGGCTGGGGATTTATCTTATCAAGTATGTCATTCTGTCTAGATTAACAGACCTTTCTCATTGATTCATTTCCTTGTCCTCTTAACACCTCCTCCAAGTGTTCCTGTAGATGAGACAACATGACTGTGAAAGTGTAGTTTCTTTAATTTGGAAAAGTTCAGTAGGCTAGAAATATAACTGGGAGAAGAAGTTCAAAACGTAGAAATGAAGGCAGAAAGCATAGGCTGGGGCTGGCCTGGGATTGCCTTTATGGGGATGTATTCAGGAGTTTAGGCTTATTTGATGGGTAATCTGGGTCATATCTTTTAACTGGCATGGGTAATACTGTGGTTTAGAAACAAAATTGCTCGAGGAAGTATACAGAATACATTGGGATCAAGAAAGAGTAGAACAGAAACCAGTTAAGACGGTGCCACCGTCTTCACAGTAGGAAGTAGAGCACCGTGCAGGAGCCTTCACTGCTGCAGCCAACAGACCCTGGCACTTGATCAGATAGGAAATGTTTAAAAAAGAAAGGCTATCCAGGAACTTCTAGAAATTCCTAGCATGGTTTATTATGTGGCAGGTGATGCCAAAGTACTAAAGGAGGAGAAACTATAAAGAACTTAAGCACAAGCAGATGATCATTATTTCTATGTGCCGAGCATGAGATGGCAGCCAGGCAGAACCTACCACTGTGGAGTTCAGCATAATTCAGGCACACAGAGACACATGATAAAATAGATTCAGAGTCCTAGTGTATAAGCAGTGTTTGAACAGATTGTAGTGGATAAGATTACCCATGAGTGTATATTTATTGCAAATGATGCTGTAGCTAAAATGTGGGGGAAAGTAACATTTAAAGAGTGAGCAAAGCAAAGGAACCAGCAGTGTAACTGGAATACAAGACTGGAGAGGAGAGAGATTAGCATCAGAAAACCAAATGTGAAAGTCCTTGACAGTGCCCAATGTATTAACATGATAATCAGAAAATAACCTTTTGTAGCTAGAGTTTTCTCCAGTCCTGCCTGGCCCATGGTCAGGACAAATCTCTCTCACCTGCCAGCCCCACAGCTGCTCAGGCCCAACCAAGTAAACACACAAAGACTTATATTGCTTACAAACTGTATGGCCGCAGCAGGCTTCTTGTTATCTAGTTCTTCTATCTTAAATTAACCCATTTCTATTAGTCTATAAGTTGCCATGTGGCTCGTGGCTTACCAGTACTTTACATCTTGCTTGTCATGGTGGCAGCTGGCAGTGTCTCTCTCTGCCTCAGCCTTCCTGTTCCCCAAATTCTCCTCTCAACTTGTCCCACCTATACTTCCTGCCTGGCTACTGGCCAATCAGTGTTTTATTTATTAACCAATCAGAGCAACACATTTAACATACAGAACATCCCACAGCAACTTTTGACCCTTATTGTCAACTAGTAAGCTAATATGATATGCATACTAAAGCATTAAACTGCTTTCATCTCCTTTAATGCACACAATAGGTATTGCCTAAGGTTCACTGAGTCACATAATTCATGCATGTGTATTTTCAGTATGCTTTAGTTCTCATATAGTTTGAGTGTTATAATAGCACATGCCCATGTTGGATCTCTTTGTCTATGAATAGACACTTGTTGTCAGCATTTTGGGGCTGGGTTTACCTGTTCAGTTTTCAGACTTCATGTAATTGTTCTTATCTAATAATTTCAAACCTGTTGAATTAATAGTTTATCTAAAAACAGAATTTTGGACTTATAAAATGTTTATTTGAAAAAGGAACTAATGTATAGATATTAGGTAATTAATAAAAGATATGCTAAATGTTATAATTTTCATCATATCTTGATCATTTAACATGATCCAATGATTGTCCATATTCATAGAATTTTTAAATGGCATGAACCAAAGTAGTTGTTAAAATAGAAGCAAAAATACCAGAGTGGACCCTTCAGAGAATGAATTGCACAGGCCTTATCCAGTCAGGAGTTACGTAGGGAAGTCATTAACCTGCTCTCCTTTCTTTCCCCCCTCCTCTTTGGTTTTGTTTTTTTGTTTTGTGGTAGTCTGACCCTTGGTTATCATTACAGAACTATGGAGGTGCAATGAGACCCCCACTGAATGCTTTAGGTGGCCCCGGAATGCCTGCAATGAACATGTAAGCAAAATGCTTATTACTCTGTTTAGTGAAGTATTCTGTTTTCTGTCTTCTGAAATTACACAAATTTGTAAAGCAATTTAAGTACCTCAATGTCTTTACTGTATGAAAATGAGCTAAACATGAGTGCAAATTTTTTACTTCATTTTCATGACTTACTATCATGTTTTTCTTCTTTTCATGAAACTTTCAAATTCTTTTGCATTTTAGGTACCATAAATTCACAACTTTTAAGTCTGTTTCTTTTTAATAATTATGTATAGATTTCATATGAAATCTATATGACATTATGAAGAGATGCAGATACCAGAACCATGTACTAATTCTACAGAAGTTAATAAATGAGAGTTCTTAGTCATGTTGATAAGTTCTTTGTGGGAGCTGACGGTGAGTTAGTCTCATAAACATATGTCTACGTTTGCATTACTGGGATCACTTTCAACACAAAAAACTTCTCTGTGGTGATATCCTGTGTTAAAGAACTACATAGTACAGGATTGGTTCTCTTTGAAAACTCAAGATGTAACTGGGTAAGAAATAAACATCTTCATGTTGGTATTACTAGAATGACCTTTCCAGTTTGTTTATGTTGCAGTGCAATTTGCTAAGATATTTTTAATTTATTTTGCATTCTCCAACCTTCACTTGAAGGCTTGTATACACTAGATCTTGCTAATGACGTTTATGAACTCACCAGAGGATCACCAGGGTGATGGGGCCTAAAGGAAGCTCATCAGAAGTGATTACTGTGTTCCACGTGGGCTTGAGGATCCTCAACTTTACTTCCCATCTGCCTGTTTTTAGCTCCTTACGTATTAAATGAAACAACTCTCTGTCATCCAGTGGCATGAAGACATACTGTGAAATAAGCTCTTTTGATGTATGCAGGATTTTTTAAGCTTCTGAAACCATTTTCATAGGATGCAATTTTTACTAAAACTGAAAATAGGTTAATAAGTGGATACCAGCCAGACTCAAAACTAACGGAACAGGGAGAAAAGTAGGTCAAATTGTCCTATAAGGTCTTTTTTGCCTTTGAAATAAAAATGGATAGACATGAAGTCTAGCTCTTGAACTCCTCACAGGCTCACCCTTTATTAGCAGTTGCTCCAGAGGGTTGAATGGTATTTTGTACTTATGTTAAAAGCTGGAGCTCTTAACAGTAGGCTAGAAAATACATGAAACTTAATTTAGATTCTCACTTTAAAAGTCAATATATTTCAATAAAATTGTAATATTATGCTCAATCAAGTTGTTATAAGTGATAAGGACATATCTAATATGAAACAATATAGTACTCTGTGTAATAATTAGCCACACGGCCAACTTGAAGTAAACCTGATTTTGCTGGTACATAATAAAATTTTATTTTCATATGATTTAAGAGACTCAAATAATTACTTAAAATTACCTAGTTCCTTCTGATATATGTGCTTAAGCATTCACATATGAGTACTCTTAATTCCCTAGACCATTAAGATGAAAAATGTGGCTGAAATTCTTAGTAGGATTTTTTTTTTTTGATATTTAGCCTTCTTACATATTCTTAGGTAGTTTGAAATATTTTCTCTTATATGAGAGTTCACTGTTGATATGAATTCTAATTATTAAAGAGAATGAAGATTTACCTGCTTATTCTCATTTTTTTGTTACTTTCCCTTTATTTTGGAGTCTTCTGTAATTCTTTCCATTTTTAGTAAATTGGGATTCTCTCAGAGACAGTGAAAAGCACATATAGATTTAAGCACAATAAATGCTTTCTTATGGCAGGGAAACTTGTAAAGTACATTGAATTAAAATTCATTATTTTAATCTTTAACACAAATGTGTGACACCCCCTCCAACGGGGCACGGGGGGGTTAAATGGCACCCATGACTCTCTCCATGACATTTTTAAAGAAAAAAGAAAAAGAGAACACTGTCGGGCTACTGAAAATTTGAAAGATAGGACATGGTGTTCCCTCAAGCTCCACTTTGAAATGGGTTAGGAGCAAGGACAGGCTTGCCAGATACCCGGAATGTTTCTTCATTCCTTTCATTTGCCAGGAGAATATAGGGACAGTGAAATAAAAGCCAGTCCTGGCCCCCCAGTGATTCAATACTGTGTTCTGACCAGCCACCAGAACTTTTAATTGCAAAATTAAACATTCACAACACAAATTTTGTTAATCCCATTAATGGAAGTTCATATATAGAAATTGGTTGCTGGGCTGTGGTAGCACATGCCTTTAATCCCAGCTCAGGGAAGCAGGCAGAGGCTGGTGGGTCCCTGTGAGTTCAAAGCCAGCCTGGTCTACGATGCCAGTTCCAGGACAACCAGGGCTGTTACACAGAGACAACCTGTCTCAAACAAACAAACAAACAGTAGAAATTGATCACAAAAACATTGGGGGAAAACGGCTTATGGTGGTGGGAACTTGACACTTCTGTTTTTTAAACTTGGAACAAACTGCACAGTAGTTTGTCCTGAACATTCAGAGTAGGTTTTCAACATTTCTATAACAAGTAAACACCCAATATTAAGTGATGTGAAATTTACAAGGCCTGCCCTGGAACACTGCTCCTCAGCCTTGTAGCCATTTATAGAAGCAAGGAGCTGCAAAGATCCCATGGCTTCCGGAAGGGACTGTTCAGTGGGTTATTTAAATGAGTGAATTCCAAAGGAGAATTATCTCCCTGGTAGTCATTCCAACAGCCCATCATAATAGATGCTAACCAAAAACACGTACATCTGTCACGTTTTCTTCTTCTTTGCTTCTAAAAAGGGCTCATCCCCTAGTGTTTATTCGGAATCATGCTTACAGTTGCTGGATCAGCTTCTTGGTGCTTGCGGCTCCAGCAGAAGCGGACATGATCGACTAACTTAGTTGATCTTTAAACCACTAGGCGTTGGCTCCAGTGCTGTCAGTGGAACTCGCACAGTGTGTTTGTGTGAGTTCATATGTAATTCCATTCCTATAATGCTCAAATGAAGTTGATGTGAAATACAGAATTCTGGGACTAGAGTAGTATAAACAATAGAGATGATGTTACTTAGAATAAGTTTAACTCTGAATTTATGTTATTCAACTAAAAAATTTCTGACTTTTAATTTAGCTTCTAATTTAATAGTAGACAACTTTAAGTTAAATGTCTTATTTTATATACCTTATTCATACAATCCTTTAAGAGAAATTGCATTGACTTTGTGTCAGGGATGCACATGCCACAGTATGTGTGGAGAGGTTTGAGGGCAGCTTTGAGGAAGCTGTTATCCATCTCCATGTGGATCCTGGGGACAGAGCTCAGGATAGGAGGCTGGGCAGCAAACATCTTGACCCACTGAGCCACGTTGTGAGACCGATTCCTACAGTTCTTCATGGGTCATATTCAAAGTTAGAACACAATTAACTATGTATCATCAGTGCAGTTCAAGTTTCCCATGATTTGACTGTTTTCTAGGTTGCCCAGCTTCTTCACTGTGTTATATTTAGCACCCGACAGACACTGTCTAATATTCCTACTCAAGCGTTTCACTTGATCAACATGCATCCTGTTTCACATCATTTTATGTCCATCAGGACACTGAATCCTAGATGTAAAATCGTCTTTGAAAAGTGTTCAGTAATCAATTGTAAAATTTTCGTCACCACTGTCATTCTTATCATCAATATCACCTCAAGGGGAGAATTCTCCTTAGGGCACTTGGAACAGAGCCGAAGGAGGGATTTACGCCATATCCCTTTGTTTACACCCTATGAATACCAGACTAAATCTCAAACAGTTGTAATGAGTCCAAGCAAGATAACTAGGACAGTGTCTTTGTTTAATGTTTATTACTTTACATTTAAGATTCATAGATTCAAGGGAACTTTAAAACTAAACAATTTCATTGCCTTAGTGAGTATAAAGAGAATTTTCTATAACTAATCAAAGAAAGTTGAAAATAGTCTGCCTCTCATAAAACAATATTGATTCAAATGTATTTAATACCACATCCCAAGTATATGACTCTGATTTAATTAACGGGCATTAATTTTGTTTATAGGCTATGAAATATAAAACATTCTCATGAATTCTAAAATAAAGTAATATATTGGTATAGATTATCTCCTTTCATTTCAAGACTTGTTCTCTCTACTATCTTCAACTAAAATTATGAAGTATGAATTTTTATATCTGTACAACTGTAATTCACATGCCCATTTAAAGGCTACATTCTCTTCTGGCAGACAGCAGTACTTACATTAGTAATTCAGTGGCAGCCTTACGTTATAATGGTATTGGCCATGAGGCTAACACCGGACTAAGTGCTTCCCAGTGGTAACTAAGTCATCATTAGCACTGGGTGATACTTTAGGGGTTGGGGATTTAGCTCAGTGGTAGAGCTCTTGCCTAGCAAGTGCAAGGCCCTGGGTTAGGTCCTCAGCTCCAGAAAAAAAAAAAAGACATATAATCTACTTTAATATAATTTTTAAGGAGGCAAGTTTAGATAGTGCTTATTTATAATGTGACAATAATCATTTATGTAGATACTTTATAAAATCATTTTGAATGATACACAGGTGGTTCTTACTGGTCTATTGGATTATATTTATCTGTATTTTATCTCTTTTACTCCAAAACTGGTAAAAAAAAAAAAAATCATTTAGGAGCATATATAGACTGCTATGGGTAATTTCCATTTCTTGTTTATAAAAATAAATAATATTAAACTAGCTATACATGAAACTGTTTCATGAAATAATTGTTTTCTTATTCAAGGAAAAACTATTAAGATGACTAAAAAGTGATTTTGGTGCTTAACTAGAACCATGTGTAGTAACTGAATTACAAACATTAATGTTTTTTGCCTTGTTCTTTACTTACTGTGGAACTATTTAGGCACATGTTGAAATGTAATCTGTCATATCATTTTGTAGGGGTCCAGGTGGTGGTAGACCTTGGCCAAACCCAACAAATGCCAATTCAGTGAGTATATATATTTTGCACTTTGTAACATTTAGCAGTGAAAAGACTATTGCTTTTGAGAGCTTCACAAGAACTTAACACAGTTGTTTTATGCGTTTAAAGAAGTTACTCAAAAATATAGGTTTGTTTATATTCTTTTAAAAAATCTAATTTTTGAAATTTTGTGATTTTTTTTTCATTTCCTTATGTAAATATGTTCTCTGTCAGTTACTAGATCTTCAAAAGTAAAGACAGAAACAGTGAGTAATACAATAGTGTGTGTAGCAGTCTCTACTTATCATAAGGCTGGATCTTCTGGAGTAGCTACAAGATCATTAAGTTGCCAGATAAGATGCATCTCAATTAGAGGAAACTGAATTACTATGATTGTGAGTTGTGTTTATCATACCTACCAGGTGCACATTTGCCTAGTGCCTATTAGCTAAATTGCCATCCCTGCTCATCTATGTATCTGACATCCTGGGAATTTTTCTTATATTTTTTGTGGCAGTGGTTTAATGCATTTTTTTTTTCTCTTAATGAGGTCACAGAAATATATGCTCAGGTTGCAAATTAAGCTATCAGGTTTTAAACTGAATGATTTTAGTTTTATGATCCTGGAGATGATTTCTTCATTTTTGAAATCATAAGCATGTCAGTGTGTGAGAGAAGCCTGCTTTATACATTAGCGTAGTGTGTACACTGTACACAGCCAGCCAGGTTAAGGGTGCAGTGAGGGCCGGCAGACTGAACTCCATGGACGAAGTTCCTGAGCGCTAACCAAGAAGAGACGCACGTGGCTTGCAGGCTGTGCACAGGTGCTACCTTCCAGTCGCGGCCAACTGCCCGAGTGCTAAGTAAGTCTGAAATGCAGCTAATATTCCAGATTAATTGAAAACGTCGAAGAAGTGAGAACCAAGGTGTGTGAAGTATGGGAAAAATAATCATAGATCCAATGTTGTTCTACAGCAAAAGCCAAATTTCCTTTCAGTTAATTAAATCATTCATGTTTTAGAGGAAATAATTAGTTTTGTATTATCTTATTTTCTTTGGGTTTTAGTAGTCATGACATTTACTAATTATTTCAGGTAAAGAGAGAGCTGTTGCTTCTACTTGGGCCGTCAGTGACCTGTTCAGCAAGTCTTTGTCAAATAGTATTTTGCCAGATTATATTGTAATGTGGATAACTTCTTCCCGGGCTTTCAGTTGCCTCTGTGCCTCAGGAGTCTTTTTTTTTTTTTTTTTTTTCTTTGCTTCTTCCTCTTTGCCTTAATTAGTTTATTCAGGATTTCACTTTGAAATGGCATCTGACATGCAGCCCAAACACATCATTTTTGTCCTATTAAAGTACCCATTAAACTGTTTCTAGGTAACAGTCTTCCTAGTACCAGGGTCTAGAAAAAAATCCCTGTTTCCTCCATGATTAATGAAACTAGATAGAAAAGTGAAGCCTGTACTCCACCTTAAGCTTAGTGTCCACACAGCCATCCACTCTAGGCAGATAATAACTCACACTCCATCCATGTCCATCAGCACCTTTCCATACGTACCTGTGAGTGTAGCCTAGAGCCGCTGAGGACCATGCACGGCATTTGGGGAGGTGCTAGAGAAACAGCTGTGTTGTGCCTGGTAGTGTATTATCCGATTGAAGTGTATTTAATAGAAGTAGAGATGAGAAGCAAATCCCTTATTCTGTTGAATTTCAGTTGTGAGGGCCCCATCTCTTGAGGATTTACCCAAGCACCATTGGTGTGCTAATCAGATCAGTAGCTCAAAATCATTTTAGACCCCAAGAAATACTAGAAACTGGAGTGGAAATGTGCACAACCATGATCAGTCTGGAATGTCCATGATCAGTCTGGAATGTCCATGATCAGTCTGGAATGTACATCTGGCCAGTATGAACAGGTGAAGATTGAAGGTGATCCTTTCTGTTCGTGCATGCCACAGACAGAAATATCTACCCCCAACTCAAAGGGCATCGGGCAAATAGTGGGGGATGTGTGGGCTTTCCCCAGAAAGAGAAGGAAGTCATCCTCCTGAGCATACAGAGAGAAAATACTCCTCTCACGGGGTGAAGAGCCCAAGGAGAAACTGCAGAGCGGGTGGCCTTGTAGAGGAGGGGGCTTCTGTGAAGCAGTGAGAGGCGTTACAGGGACGTCCCCCCCCCCAGACACAGTTGATTATTTTGCAGTGATGACTCCTCTGTGTTATTTTGAATTCCAAGTTCCTCGGACTTGCTGTACATATTTACTATGACAGATGCCTTTCACTGATAGCAGTGCAGTATGTGTCTGCCTGCTCAGGGCAGCATATTAAAGAGGCTTTCGGTGTTTTATCTTTTTCCATATGCTCCACCTTCTCCCCATTATTTTGAAAGAATCTAATAATTCCATGCCCCTGCTCCAGTACCCCAGTGCTGAGCTTACCACATTGGCTCCGGGATTCATTCTCTCCACAGTTTTTCCTGTTGTGTTTCAGTGTCTCCTAAACATAAGATGTCATCTTTCATAGCCGCAAAAACAGTGCTCGGAATCACAGCACTAACCCTGCTTAATACTGCTTTCTAATCTACAGATCTGACTTGACTCTGTCCCGTTGTCTAGATAATACCTTTAGGCCACTCATCGGCCACGTGTCTGGTGCTTTTCCTCGGGAACCGCCCCCCTCACGCCGTCTCTGTTAACCTGCAGTTGTGTTGACTGACTGACCAGTTGTTTAGAAGGTCCTGTAGCTTGTTTTCACTGCCAGGCTGTGGTGGGAGGAGCCTTGTGTTTTCCTCAGAACACCGTTGCAGGAGGCTCCTGGTGAACCTGCCTCATCTCTGGTCACCTTAGTTTGGATTGCTTGGCTAAGCTGCTGTCTATTGCACTAAAATTACCGTTTTTCCTCTGGAAAGATCCATGTGAAACCATACTTGAACTTGTGGGGAATGTTCTTTTCCTTCCTTCTCCTCAGCAGCCACCATTTTTGGCATCTATTAGTGATTCTTACCTGAATCTTTCCTTTTCCCACTGAGTTGGTCACCAAATGGATATTTTTAAATGTTTTCTTTCCTTCTCTAACAGTTGACTTTTTACTAGAGCAAAGGCTAGTTCATCCTGAAAACTCCCTGTCCATTTACTTTTCATGATAGTTATTAACATGTATTAATTGTACAAATTGATGGGGATCTCTGTTCTCACATGCATTTGTTCGTCTGTCATATCTATTATACCTTTTTCATTATTGCTCTAGCCCCCTCCCCAATCCTTAATATTTTTTCTTCTAAAAATCCTGATTTAAATCTGATTCAGGTTCCACAAGTTCAGAAAAATGTGCCTTCTTTTTTCCTTATCTCTGTCCCCTTAGAACACACAAAGGCTGTGTGTCACCCCAGATCTTTATGTCTGTAGCTTCTAGTTGAACATAAAAGAATGCCACTTACCAGTTAAGGAAAGGAATTAGAAATAACTCTAACTGAACTATATTTGCTTGTCTTGAGTCATGTGCTCCTTCATGAAACAGAGGGGATAAATATGTCCTGCCTACATCACATGCCTACTCCTGAGCCTGTGCAACTCATGTCTAGTCAAGATAAGGAAAGTCCAGTTAACTGGAAAGTATGAAAGGGGTAGACACAACACCAGATGTTTAGTATGTCATTCTATTAATCAGTTCTCTGATTGCATATGAAAAAGCAAATGGAAGGAATTCCTTTCAGGAAAAATATGACTAACCATACAGGCCATTTTTTTACACTACAATACATTTTTTTAATTAAAAAAAAAAAAAAACACTAAAAACTGGTTCCTACTTTCCATTGGCACAATGCATGACGTTGTGCTGCCCAACTATAGCTCATCAGTACTCACAACATCATTGTAGACTTCCCTACTGGAGAAAGGTGTAACTGGAATGATGGCGATCCTTTTCAATGCAGCATTACTGCTTGAGCCCTTATTCATACCACCACCATCAGGAGTGTTAAGACGCAGAATTCCCTTCTGGCTTAGTCATGCAACATATTTGACCCTTAATTTTCTTCATCAGATTTTTGTAGCTAGATGAGTCTGACCCTCTGACTCTGTGATCTTACTTATCAACTGTGTCTTCAATTTAACATGTTTTAAAACATTTATTAGTGAGTGTGTGTGTGTGTGTGTGTGTGTGTGTGTTCCTGACTATATGTAAGAACATACAGGAGCCCATGGAATTCAGAAGAGCACATTGGATCCTCTGTAATGTAATTATGAACCGTTTGTCATTGTGTCCTTTCAATTAATTTGTGAAATGATTCCCAATTCTTTATTTTTTGGTCAGCATTGTTTATTGTGGTCAACATTATCCACAACTCCCTTTGTCATCTCTTGGCTGAAATTTTGCAGTAGTCCACTTGGATTCACTTTCCTTGGTCCCTGTAGAGTCACCTTACTAAGACATGCACTTGAACATGTCTAGAAAACCTTTTATTTTTGATAGCATGCACTCATTCCTGTTCAATACATAAGTCCTACAGTGTATCAGCCATAAAAAAATTGCCTGACATTCCCTGAATGTGCTGTGTGATCTCACATTCCTTTTCCCCATCAGTTCTCCTCATCTTTCTCATGTCACACCTACCTCCTTTCTGTGCGTCCCCAGGTCTCCAGCTCAGAAACAGACCCACGATACTCACATAGCATTTCTGTCTCTTTTGATGTGATGTATGTCTTTTACACTGTGCTATCACATCTTGCTGGCAGCTTTCAGGAGTGGCGGTTCTGTTATGTGCCAGGGTAGGAGCCCACAGGCTGAAGTATAATCAGAAAACTAAAGATTAGAATGTAGAAATAGTTGATATAAGCTAAAATAGAAGAGCTTGTCCAGACAGAGATGGAAATAAATTCAACAGCTAGATGAGATAATGTAGCTGGAGAGTTTTCTCTCCGGGTCCCACCAAGCCCCCACAGTCCGACAACCGACTTATAAAATAAACACACAGACACTTACATTATTTAAACTGGTTGGCCTAATGGCTCAGGCTTCTAGCTATCCAGTTCTTACATCTTAAATTAATCCATTTCTATAAATCTATACCTTGCCACGTGACTCGTGGCTTACCGGCATCTTCACATGCTGCTTATCATGGCAGCGGCTGGCAGTGTCTCCCTCCGCCTTCCTGTTCTCTCATTCTCCTCTCTGTTAGTCCCACCTATACTTCCTGCCTGGCCACTGGCCAATCAGTGTTTATTTATTGACCAATCAGAGCAACACATTTGACATACAGACCATCCCACAGCAAGATAACAATTTGTAAAGTATTTAAAAGTGGTAGTTCTATTTCACCATGTGAAGGAATTGTAGAGACTTGGGTGGAGAAAAAGGCTGGAGGTGCTGTCCTGGGAAACTAACAAAAGATTCTTGTCTTTTTCTCTCGAGCATAATAGGTGTAATTTTAAATCTGTAAACAGTGGCATGCCCACCTGAAAATGATGGTTTAATGTATGGCAGGAGGGCAAAATATCTACTCAGGATGACATAATAGCTGTAAAGGCCAGCTCACAAGAGAGAAAAATAAGTCCAAATTTCAGAATTCGTTTTTCATTCAGTAATTTCATGAACTGTGTGTGGAACTCCTTTCGTAACTTGAAATCTAACAAATGAGAATATTTATACAAAGAAGTGGATGAATACTACAGGTCAAGAATTTTCCTTCCTCCTAAAGTTGACTAAGTTTATGTGCTCATCACTTAGCCGTCAGGGGTTTTGCAAAGGCTGGACCAGAAAATGGGAAGATGTTCGTACAGAGCATGTGGCATGTAATGAACATGTTATGGAGTGTGATTGTATTTGTAATCTTGTCATCCTGGCTTTGTGCCTTCCTCCAGGAAAGCTCTTGTAAAACAGAGACTAACTAGCAGATGATCAAAGAAATAGGAACCAATGTTTGGAAGAATAAACTTAAGATATTTGAGAAATAAACTACAGCGTATAGGAGAATGTAGAGGTAATTTAGTTTATAAACAAAACAACTAATTGACTAAGAAAAGATGAAAGGAATAAAAAAAAATAATCTGACAGGAATACAGGATAAGTTTTGTAAGCATAAGTAGTAAGAAAGAGGTCAGGCAAAGGAATTTTCCAGATCTCGCTACTGATGTTCTGAACTTTCAAAAAGGGAAGAGAGAGAGCAATATATCACAGAATTCAGGAATATACTATATTGTGAATAATAAATAGCTAAAAGATGATTAGATTGTTGTGCCAGACAATATCAGAGTAAGAAAACACTGACCAGGAGCTGAAGACAGGGAGATGAAATGCATTCCAGGGACCAAGAGAATGTTGGCAGTTCAGAGGGGGCAAATGTATGTATTTAAAGCAATGCATTGAAAAGACTGGTAGATCATGAATTGAAGAGGGCACAAGAAAGCAAAGTCATGCATTTACTGAAGGAGGCCAGGTTTAATGCTGGAGAGACCTTAGTTCTCAGGGGAAGTGATCCCCTTCACCAGAGACTGTCACTGCGGTAGCTGTGGGCGCTCAGGCTCCATCAACCCTCTCACACACACTGAAGTAGAGGCTCGGGCGACATGTGTTCTGTGCTTATAGAAAACAAGGGCACCAAACAGTGAGGAGAAAGCCTACTATTAAATAGTTACAAAACCATCAAGTATTTTAAGGGGAAAATTGTGGTGTGTAGACTTCCTTCTTTGTGATTTCATATTACTGCATTGTTATGGCAGGTTTGGGGCCATCAGAGAAAGGAATCAGCATGTTCGCCTCTCAGAAGGTCTTCTTCTGGCCTTCACTAGCTCAGTCTGGAGAGACAGATTACTGCCTTTTCTCAGAATAAATCATATGGCTGTGTCATGCAAGTGGGCTTGTTAAAAAAGAAAATGTTTAATTTTCCTATTAACACTCACACTTAGGTGTTTATTTTAAAGTATGTTTTGAATTATTCACTTCCTTCATCAGAGCACTGTGAATTAGTAGCTCTCTTGCCTGAAACTTTCAGGAGGGGCTTCATTTGAAGAGAAAGGAAATTCGTTGTTTGGATCTGGTCCTCACAGATTATCAGCCTTTGGTCATTGTAGTTAGCAAATTCCTTGGAATTTATTGCATTGTTTTAATACTAACTAAGCAGGGAATGTGAGAATCAACATGTACTGCATGAAAGTAGCAGTAAATGTCTTTAAATTTTGCATAAATTAGAAGTTTTATATGTACAGGATACTAATCTGAAATCTTCTGGTCTCCTAGTGTTAGCTGTACAAGTATACATCTTTCTATTTATAGACTATCTCATTAGTACCACACAGTGGATACAACTGACTTAAGCCAATATAATTTGAAGCTATAGTTTTAAGTTCCTCTTGACTGAAATCTACATTTTCTTGTGAGTTCAATATAATATTATAATTGCTTAGATTTTTTTTGCACTTACACAGATGGAAATTCCTTTATGTTTTATTATACTTTGTGATGCATTTTAAACTTGATAAAAGAGAAGTCAATTTATTTAATTCAATCTCATGCAGTCACATGAAATGAAAATATTTGTTTCTGTTCTGCTCATGTTCCAGATACCGTACTCCTCAGCGTCTCCTGGGAACTATGTAGTAAGTACATTTGGGTTTGTTTGCTCATAAGAATTGATGTTACATTTTATTTGGGCAAGAAATTGTTGCCCAGATGTTAAGAAGAGCCCTTGTGTATTGACCAAGAAGTGAACATCTTGAGTTGTTTCATCTGCCAACCTCAATACATATGTTGATGTTCATTAGTGAAACAGTTATCAGTCTGGCTAGAATTGCCTTGAGTACTCGGTTTGACTTTGGCATATGTTTCTGGGAGCCACTACAATACTCTCTATCCAATCATGAAGAGAGTCATTCCCAGTTACACAACAATATGCTTGAATTCGCAGTTCTCCATAAGAATAATGTACACACCCCCTCTCCAGGCCTGCTCACCACACATAAAGGATAAGAAAACATTAAACTTTATCCCAACCACAATGTGGATCAGACTACAGAATAAAGTAATAATTTGGAAGGGTCTTTTAGGTTTTGTCTATTCCTAGAAGCTGAAAAACCTGTTTCCTTGTTACAGCCTAATACATAGTAACATTTCTCAGTGTTCATGTAGACCTGAAGCCAGTGAGTTTGGACCATCTCTTTTATATTCACAAACAATCCTTTTGCATCACCTCTTTTATGATTCTTGTTCATCCAGAGAACACCATAAGGGATAGATTTTTATAAAATTTAGGAGAAAATATTAGCAGAGAAGCAAAGATAAAATGGTAAAATCGGAAGCCTTTCCTAAAGTAATTTTCAGAGGTTATGGGCAACTGCAGTGCAGTAAATAGGAGGACACAGAAGAAAATCAATGAGCATTTTAACCCCCTACAGAAACACTGTTTTATTAACATAGTGAAAAGCACACGCTGCTCTCCAGACCTGTGTTCTTTGTGTTCAATGTTCCTCTGCGCTGTTCCAGCCAGGGGAGTCCAATTCTTGACACAATTTGAATGAAACAAAGGAAATAAATTAGAATAAACACTCTTAAAATCACTTAATAAGCCTGATAAATTTTTATGAAATTATATACATTTATTTTAAAATAAATTTTAGTTGTTTACTTAGTGGGACATATGTATATTATTTGAAGTAATTGGTAGGCTATATGTATACACTCAGAATAAAGTCAAGATTTAAGCCACTTGAGAGTTCATTTGACATTATACATAGAGTACCTGGAGAATTCTAAAGCTCATTGCCTAGCATGTGCGATTGGTTGTCAGAATTAAGGGCAGATTCACTCCTGCCCAGTCAGTGGTTGTAGAGCTGCAGCCTCCATAGCCTGCACCATTAGTGAGGATCATGTCTCATTTCCCACTGAATTGATAGCTAACGTGTGGAGCTCTCGGTGTTACAGCTGAAGCTGACAGAGAAAAGAAGTAGCTTTAGTGGGTCTGTAATGTGGATCTCTAAATGGGTATCTCTTAAATGCTCTCTATGTGGATGTCTTTGTAGTGTTAGTAAAAGCTAGTGACACAGAATGTAAGAAAATTACAGCAAACAATTAAAGTACACGTGAATTATTCCTATTTTGTTGATTTGTAAAGGCCCTATTAAGTGGTTTCTTCTTAACCTCATTATAGGTGATGTGATTAAGTCATGAATAATAAACCAGTGTTACAGGCTTATTGTTTTTGGAAACTTGTCAAAACAGTCTCAACATAGTTAAGCTAAATTATGTTTTGCATAATATTGAGTTGATTGTGAATCAAAGAAAATAAATTACAGAGGAAATATATTTGCTTTGTATTTCAAAATTGGATTATTATTGAGATAAGTATAGCCTTTTTCTGCTTTTCCTTACGGTGTTTAATGAACTGCTTTATTTTTACTGAAATTTTGTGTAATTATTTAGGGTCCTCCAGGAGGTGGAGGGCCACCAGGAACGCCCATCATGCCTAGTCCAGCAGGTATTGTAAATCAAACTAGCTCCATGGACATTTGACTCCTAGGGTGAAACCACAGACTATAGAAATTGTTTTTGAAATAAACTTAGGAATTTTCATTGTCTCAGCATTATTAAAGGCCATAGAGGAAGCAGGTAGGAAGAAGTCAAGTTCTTAAACAGCTTTGGTCCAGTTGAGGACTTAGAAAATTCCTTGTGTAGATTATAGATTTAGTCAGTATGAGCAATGTGTTAATTTATATGAATTGCAAGTAACAACTTACCTAAAAATCCCTTAAAACTGAAAAGAATCTATAGCCCCCACCTCAGAGAAATCTACAGGAGTCAAACACTGTAGCCCCGTTAGGTTAGGATAGCAAGCTGACACCCACTCACATAACTTACCATCTTACTGAGTATCAATGTGCTTATGGTATTGTTTACTCTACATGTCTATAGGAATTTATTGGTTATAAATTTACTAAACAGTGCTGAAAGATTTTTTTAATTTTCTAAAATAAGATACACTTTACTATATCCCTAATAATTCAACGTAATTATTTCAAGTAGCATTAGCCTTTTTTTCCTTGAGACTTTAACAGAGTATTAAGCTTGTCTGGAGACTAGTGATTGGAATTTAAATTGTCTAGAGTCCAGCAAGTTATGGAACATGTATCAAGGGCTATTAGATGGTTCTTACGAGTTGACTCAGAGGCTGGAGACATGGCTCAGTGGTTAAGAGCACTGACTGCTCTTCCAAAGGACCCACATGGCAGCTTACAACTATCTGTAACTTCAGTTCTAAGAGGACCTCAGACAGATTCATGCAGGCAAAACACCAATGCACATTTTAAATAAAAGAATTGACCCTATAGTCCTAATACTATAAATGATTAGAGATGCAATCCAAGATTCTATACAAGTTAGACTATCTCATTAACTGTTATCAATAGTTAGACTAGTCTTCATTCCTAGCCCAATAGTAGTGAAATTATTCAATTTAAGGCATATGATAGGATGTAATTAAAATTTTACAGAAGTAATCATAAAACAATTTTTTTTGTTGTGAGAAAAATAAATGTTTATTATTCAGCACAATATTATCACAGTTTTATTCATTCACTTTTAATGGTTTATTTTAATTATATACACTTGTGATATCTGTGTGTGAGCATGAGCACATGGGTTTGGCCCCCAGGAGTCTGGCAGGCAGCCTCAGATCCCCTGGTGCTGGAGTTACAGATGATTGTGAGTCGGCTGTGGGATGTCTTTCTGTATGCTGTGAATATGTGTTGCTCTGATTGGTTGAAAAGTCAATCTGTTTGGCCTATGGCAAGGCAGCTTAGAGGCAGGTGGGAAATCCAGGCAGATAGACAGGAAGAGAAGAGAGAGGCAGGAGAGATGCCAGCCACCACTGAAGGAGAAACAACATGCCAACAGACCAGTAAGCCATGGAACACGTGGCAAACATAGATTAATAGAAATGGGCTAATTTAAGATATAAGAGCTAGCTAGCAAGAAGCCTGCCATAGACCATACGATTGGTAATTAATATTGGATGATTACTTTATATGTGGCTGAGGGACCACAGAGCCAGACGGGACTGGGAAAACTTCCGACTACATGAGTCCCTTAATGTTTATATTGGGAACTGAGCTCACGTCCTCTGCAAGACCAGTGTGTGCTCTTAATAGTTGAGTTACCTCTCCTACCCCACAGCTTTGAATAGGTGTGTGTGTGTGTGTGTGTGTATCTGTGTATATATGTGTACACACGTATATTTATACATAGGTATGTATCACTGAAATCGTAAAAGCAGAAAATAAGCTAAAACTTTAAGTGTTTCTTGGAAATAACATAGATTTGAAGTGTTTATAATTAAAAATAATTTTAGTTATGGTTCACTGTGAAGTCAAATGTTCTTAAGTATTTAGGTTTAGTTCTAAGATATATAGGAGTTTAAAAGTCATTATTGTTAATAATTCCGGTAAATAATATTTTGCTTTTTACATTTTATTTAAAATCAAATTTGGTAATACAAAATATTACCTTAAATTTATTGTTTTCTCTCTATCCATAAAAATGTCATCATCTCTATATTCAAAGTGTCCACATTGAAAAGCAGAATCCATCAAAGATGAATTATATGAACTGATTGCCTCCCCTGTATCTTATTCTCATATTGTGAAGTTAATGTGTGGTTTATGGAGATAGCATGCGATTTGTGCTCATTTGGCTAGAGACTAGAGCCCAGCTTCGAGTCACACTGGGCATAGCAGGGATAAGGAATCTAACCACTGCTTCAGTCGGTCTCGCTGGCCTTGTCCACACACTTCTGTCAAATCATCCTTTAACAGTGAGCCAGGGTCCTCAGGCCAAAAGACACATGCCCATAGATGCACTTTAGTGTAAGGCTCTTCCATGAATCAAAAGGAATCAGGCATTTCCTATACAACCCTCCTTCTTCCTTTTGATGGTTTTCTTTCTTTTCGATGAAATTATATTTCCAACTAGTATTAAAAATGATAAATTCACCTCTTTCATATTTAAAATATGTAGTCCATTTTTCGTTCACCAAAAGTTAAAGATTAAGCCCATTTAAAGTTTTCATAAATTTAAAAACAAATACAAAATTTTCTGAAATGTGATAGAACTATCTAGACAAATTAAATGCAATAGATCTAATTTGTTGTCTGAGGTACACAAGCTAAGTAAGACATAGCCCCTTCCTTCTGATGAACTCTTGATAGCCACATGTGAGCAGGAGAGAAAAGACAAGGCGCATTGTATTCATGGGAGTATGCTCAGAAACCTCAGGGAAAACTCATACTGGAAATAAATAGGTCTTGGATAGTGATGGGAACTATAGGAGGTGGGACTGGTGAGAAGATGCCAGGCAGGAGAAGGAATGAAAATATGAAGATGGGCAAGGCTGCTGGTAGGCAGGAAGGAATCAGTGATCTTACGTGACAGAAGTACTTCATAAATGAGGACATGAAAAAGTTATAGCCACAAAAATAGCTTTGAGACTTCACTTAGTATTGAAAACAAAGGGCAACCTGAGGGGGTGCATCTGGTTCATTCGGTACTATGAGGCATTCACTTAGAAGTAATATCTAAAGCCTGGTGGTGGTGCAGGTGCACAACTTTAAAACCAGCACTCGGGAGGCAGAGGCAGGCGGATCTCTGTGAGTTCAAGGCCAGCCTGGGCTACAGAGCAAGTTCCAGGAAAGGCGCAAAGCTACACAGAGAA